GGGCCCGTTATTTACGCGCATACCAGCAACCTTTTTACGTCCACCGATGCGATAATGGCCAGATAAAAAGTATAGCCAGCAGATTGTTTCAAAAGGGCGGAATATTTAGGATTGGTCGGGCCGTGTAACTGCTTGTTGTTCCGCGGCGCGGCGCGGCGCGGCAGCGTTAAAGTAAATCGCCATTACGTAACGAATATGCGACCGAAACAGCCGCTGAAACTAGGCTTCAGCAGGTGCCATTAATGCGCGTATCGCATGAATGGCGGGAAAGACGCATCTGATAGAAGGTTAAATAGCGACAACGCCGTGACACGCAACGCTGACCGGCCCCGGCCAACTGTTCCTGGCCAACGAATAGAGTCGCTACGCCGCGACAACTTGACATGTTTGTACAGAGGCCACACGATGATCATACCAGCATTAACAAATAGCGTACTACCCACAGGGTACACGCCGTACACGGCACCACTACACGGCCGCGCTTCTGAAGGGAAGTTCATCATGGACAGGTGGTCACGAATCATGGTCGCCCTGTCCGCCGTGTCGGTTCCTCTCACACGCTCCGTCAAGCAATTAAGGCGGATGGAGAGGTGGACGGACATTAGCTACTTCGCCTGGAAAACGAATCTTCCGGGACCGAGGCGGCACCTTCTTAGAAACAACGCTTACCGAGAACAAACAACGGCTCTTTGTGCCGAGGGTCACTTAAAATCGCCGCCTTAATTTCCGTCGACGTTATTAAGCCCCCGGGAAAGCCGGCCGATTAATTCGACGTCGATTCTCCCTAATTTTCCTTCGGCTTATGAACAAAAATGGACAATTTGGGAAAAGGAGATACGATTATTACAGATATTTTTATTCGCAAGCTGGCAAAATTAGGGAGAATTAACCCCTTTGCACTCGAGCGGTGACTCCGAGGCACCGTTAAAATTTATGTCACGTTCTAAAATAATTTTTACATCGGCAAAGTTTAGATTTAAAAAGATCGTTGAGAGCGTAACCGTTGTCCGAGTCGCAAGAGTCAATTTCATACGTGCATAAAATGCACTTTGTCGTGCAAAATAAGAATACTATAAGTCAGAAAAATGATTTTAGATTTACAATTGAAATATAGCTTCGAGTGCGAAGGGTTAACGTTGAATTATTCGGTCGGCTTTCTCCGAGGCTTAATAACATCGACGGAAATTAAGGCGGCGATTTTTATGGTCGGTACTCTTGCCCGGCGGTTGACAGCGAGAATCGAATGTCTTCTAAACGCGTTAAGATTTCGTTCCTCGTATCGTTCGAACGGGATGCGGGAAACAAATTTGGGTGGTCTATTTCGAGCGTTCCATTCCGACGAGGTGAAGCCGATCTTTTCTCTCTTCCCTCGAATCGGTTCCTGTCCGATCTACGCGACCGTCCGCGCAACGATGTGTGTGCACGCACGGACTATGAAATTGACTCTTTCAATACCGAGAGAACATTATCGACAAATCTTCGTGACGACGCTTTATTAATATTCCGGATTAGAATAGCCCGGCATGATTCACGGAACCGGGGCTTTTGTGCGGGCCCGAAGGAGAGTTCCGGGGACACTTACAGCATAAATAACGATATCTCCCCTGGTCCGCATTCAGCTGCCGCTCCCTAACCAATGGGTGCCGCCTGCTATCACCGAAAGTGACTGACAAGCACTCCATCAGCATCATATTTCGTAAACATAACGAGATTAGGTCGCATTGTGACGGGACTCGAAGTTAATTTACATTCTAATCCCTGCATGCTACTGCTGCATCTCGTGCCTCCCTTGCTCCCCCCTTCGTCCCCGCCCCGCGACCACCGATCCCGGAAACCGCTATCGGCCAGTTACCAGTTTTATTATTTGCCGGGCTGTCGAAACCCGGGGCCGTAATGCCCCTCCCCTCCGGATTAATTTCCTACGGTCCGCCGGCTTTTGTAATGTTTATAATAAGCATTTCGTTTTGAGTGCCGTTTCGTTTGCATAGGCTGACAGTTCCTTCTTTCCGACGAAAATGATATTCATGGAAATGAGGTGAACTAGTACATAGGTTTTTGGTTGTGGCGCGCTGAATAATACATGAAATATAAGAGGAAGACATGGAGCACGTTGAATGAATTGTACTTCGTATAATAAGTTGTCAAATTACTTCCGGGTGGTCTCAGAAGTTTGTCACATTATTCATTGAACCTTCACGTCCTATTCAAATCTTCGGACGGGATTAAAAAGTATCTTATCTCTCATGCATTTATACGGGGGCCGGCTTAACTATCGAGATTAATAGTCGACGGGAATTTTTGTCGCGTCGACGTTGGACGCCACGGTTGCTGGAAAATATTGAATTCTGATTGGTCAAGTATCGTCCGTGTGCTCGGGGCGTCACGTTTTAATAGCCATATTTTCTTCAAGTATATGAAAATTAATATACTCGGTGCATTAGAGTGCGTGATAATTTAACAAATTAAATGCTACATAGATTGCCCGATAATGTGGTTCATAAAGAGTCGCGAACGCCTCGAGTACGTTTGTAGAACGTAATAATTTATAGAGAAATTTATGCGACTGTGAACACGAACAAAAAGATGTGTATATCAACGCCCACGCTATCGTTATTTTTTTCACCTTCTACATTTAGACACAAATTTCTCTCTGAGATTCTCATTTCCCTGATAGAACACGCCGTGTATTTTCGATAATGTTACAAGAATATTTTACAATCCTGCACACGTTTCTTCGATACTTTGCTCGGTCTCTAATACCGTTTTAATTCGCGCGAAAAGAATTCATAAATGCAGCGCGCGATGATTCGAACATTCAATTGGCTTTCAAATCTAGTCCAAACAATGCGAGCAAAACAATTGCCGCGGAATTAATTGAATCACGTCGCTTAATAAAAACGCCGGCGCGATACAGGTCTTCGTAAATCAAAATGCTCGCGTTACATAAATGTATAAATAATTTACTGCTGGAAGAATGAACGAATAACCTATCATTATGCAAAAGAAGAGTTAGTCAGGAACAAGGAGCAGCGGCGCAACCTATCATTTTTCCTGATGCATGTGCGAAATTATGAAATCCACGAACTATAAGCAAAAAGAAACATTACAACGAACGCGCGAGTGTTAATATCGTTTCATATTTGCCATAGTTCGCCAGCTGCAGAGTGATCGGAATCATCTGATACAGGGCGCGATCCGTAAAAAAGGTTCCGTGTGTTAACTTCGCAATGTATAACGTATGATTATTTCGAGCAGCGCTGTAAGCGTTTCCACCGATGCAACTATGTAAATTGCATCCGTTAACTTGATATCTCATTCTCTGCATTCTTTAATAGCAGCTAAAGCAGCACGTATTTCTTGAGTCACGTGAAAGAAAATTGATATCTACATTCCTGGATGCGGTAAACTCTCCCTAAATCGTTGTATCGCAATGGGTACTTCTCTCTAAATCCTTGATTTTCCAATGCACCAAATCTTCGGGATCGTAACGCTATTTATTTGAACCTATTTAGAAACGCGTCTTCACACGAGCACAACGACCATCTTCGACAACTGCCGGAAGACGACTGTCGTCGCTTCTTGCAACGGTTTCGTGACGATTTTTGTTTTCAAACTACAGGAAATTCTCTCCCCAATCTTCTTCAGCTTGTAAGCAGAAATGGACAATTTAGGAACAAGAAATACTAAGAATAATTCGAATAATAATTCGAGTCCTCGCGGCTCGTTTTTATAGTTGCCGATCGTCAACGATTATAAAAACAATATGAACATAGACCAAATGCGCGAAATTTTACAGTAGCGTAGCAATTATGGACGAATGTTTATATCATTAAATTAAAGGCAAAACATTATTTATGCTGGACATTACGGATTCATAATAAAAACGAGGCAGCTTGATACACAGGAGAAAAAAGTATTCGTTCGTTAAACTAAATATTATGTCGCAGGAGAATTTATTGCGCATGTAACGTTCAAATTAAGCCGAAACATATTTGTACATTTATTTTTCCCACGGATTTATAGAAACAGTTGCCAATAAAATAAAAACTTGCGCGTACAATCGAACTTTCCATGCTTTCCCTACACGTAATTTTGAACGTTCGGAGAGCCTTTTACCATAAACCGAACGCAATAAACAATTGACAAGCATCGACGGTGATAACCGAACTGCGCGGACTTTATAGGTTTATGGCAAAATTTGGTAGTTGCAATCGAAGATAGCAGATAAATAAAAACAGTTGAAGAACGTCAGTGTACTATTTCTAATTTATTCGAATGATCGAAGAGCGAATAAATTTGCTATTTATTGGGTTGGCAACTAAGTAATTGCCGATTTGTTCAATGAAATAAAAAATTTTTTTACTTGGAACGAAGTTTAATGTGTAATGTATTTTCCATTTTGTTCGATGACCTTTTGCCATCTCTCCGACAACTTGAAAATTCCACGTTCGTAGAAAGTCTGATCCTTTTCGGCCAAAAACTGAGTTAAGTGAGATTTTACAGCGTCATCGTCGTTAAAAGTTTTACCACGAAGGGAGTTGTCCAGGGATCGAAATAAGTGGTAATCCGATGGCGCGAGATCAGGGCTATACGGTGGGTGTAACATCAATTCCCAACCAATATCCATCAATTTTTGCCGAGTGGACAAAGACGTGTGCGGCCTAGCATTGTCCTGCTGGAAAATGACACCTTTACGATCGACCAATTCTGGTCGCTTTTCCTTGACCGCTGCATTCAATTTGTCCAGTTGCTAACATTCACGGATAATAAAAAAATAACATAATAATAATAATAATAATAATTTTATAATATAACATTTACGGATATCATAAAAATGGGAGTGAGAGACATCTATAACTGAAATCGGCAGTTACTTAGTTGCCAACCCGATAGTTTCTATCGTCTTACAATCGACTCGAACAATTTTTATTTCGCACAGAAATCCGCGGCCTAACCGATAACAAACGTAACGATAACACGCTTTAATTTTCCAGATTCGAGAATCCAAGGACAAGTCGTGGAAGCGCAAAACGGCGAGTATTCGCCATAAACGCGACGAATCCCGTCGAACTAACGCGAAGTTGCAAAGCTCGTGAACAAAAGAAGAGAGAGGAGCGTACAGGCGAATGGAAATGGCGAATCCGTACGCAAAAGGATCCTACAGAAGTTATGATGGATACGCGTCTATATCAAACTATCAGCGGCGTCTTAGCGGAGGGTGCTGGCATCGTTATGGGCACGACGTTGACGGACGGCTCTCTTACGCTCGGTTGACGGGAAACACAAATTGTGGGCGCAGCTGCGCCGATAGTAATCAAGAAACACGGTAGGTAGCGGAGTAGAGTGGCCGGATAATAATTCTCTCTCTGTCCGTGGAAGCGTGTACACACACGCCCTGGGTTATAGACTAGGAAGAGACGTGCGGTGAACAGACAGGAAGGAGCACTATACAGAGAGGAAAGGGAGAAGGGGCAGAGAGAGAGAGAGAGAGAGAGAGAGAGAGAGAGAGAGGGAGAGAGAGAGAGAGGGAGACCGAGTGCGCAAGCGAGAGGATGGGACAAGGCTGGTGGCACTTTACAGGAAAACGATGTTGATCCAGGTCGATACCTGTCATCCGTTGGCCGATGCACTGTCGAGATTGCTCCCAGTTCAGGACCCGTCTCACTTTACATTGATATTCGTGCGTCCCCCCTGTCCTGTACTCCTCTATAGCCGCGTACAATGAAGGCCGACCTTAGTTTGGCAGTGACGACAGCGACGGCATGGTATCCGACTTCAAAAGGTGCAAACCCCTCGGTTATATGAAAAACGCGTGCACGTACAGAGCGCGCACCGCTCGTTCAAACTTTGTTGTAGCCCGTCTGAAACGTTCGGTCGAGCGGCGGTGAAGGGGTGTTACCGTAATTACAGAGAATCTCATTTATTTCAGCGTACGGGAAATTGGTTTCGAAGGAGCGCTTACGAGGCCCCCGGATATTCGATGAAGTAAAACGTGTCAATTTTTCAATCATTTTTTATTCTCCTGGTGATTCCTTTTGAAACGCTAAACGTCGACTGGAAAATCGTAGAATTGCTAAATTTATGTAATTTATATCTATATGATGTTGCAGTCGCCTTTTATTTATTACAATTATATTAATCTATGATAAATTCTAATATAATATTCTAATATAATATTGTAATATAATATTCTAATACAATATTCTAATATAATATTGTAATATAATATTGTAATATATAATATTGTATAATATAATATTGTAATATATAATATTGTAATATAATATTGTAATATATAATATTGTAATATAATATTGTAATATAATATTGTAATATAATATTGTATAATATAATATTGTAATATAATATTGTAATATAATATTAAAATATAATATTGTAATATATAATATTGTAATATAATATTGTAATATAATATTGTAATATAATACGTTTTTTGGCAACTGATTCGACAGTTTCTGCATCGCCGATGTAAAAATTGTGCGACACAAATCGAAACACGTCGATGGCGATTAATGTGAAAAATGTTTGCACTAAACACAATATAATTTTGCGTTACGTGCCGTCACAGTGAAAACACATTTGTTGGCAACGCGCAAATAATACACATCGTTGTAGAGATCGGCCGGTGACATCGGCTAATTTGCTCTTAGAGCGACGAATAAATGAATACGTTAAGCGGACGAGTTTGTGTAAAACGCGTCGGAAATATCTTCGGGGATGGACGCCGTTGCACGGCGCGTCTAACATGGAATATAAAACGGGAAGAATAAATTTCGTCTATTTCCACGACTGTACGGATACGAATCGGCTTTACAGCTTTGTCTTTTTTTCCCCCTTCGGTTCGGAACTCGAACTGACAATGAGTTGCGTCGGTAAGCTTAACTAAGGTTACGTTACACGGCTACCGGCGTGTTACCCGGAGAACATAAGCTTCTTTGCGATGTAACACCGATTTAACAGTTGGCGAACATATCGGCGCTAATATCGCGATTACATCTTTCTTGCGCTACCTTTTAGGCGTGGCAAATTGTTCGCTGACATGTAATAGCGTGATTAACGGAAATTACTTTTTGTCGATTGCGCCGAGTCATCCATGAATCACTCTTGTGTCAAACGTAAATTCGTGCTTAACTGTTACGGTCGAACGTTCAGCCGATTCTATGCGGCGATTCCAAGGAATCGTTCGTCGCGATTAGAATTGCCGCTCGTTTTTCTATTACCTTTAGCAAGAAGGAAATTCTTTGCGGAGGCATCGATTACGTGGGCACGGCGATTATTATTACGTCGACGTGCTCTTTGCTGCACGTGACTGATATATCCTGTGTGCTATTTAACTCTCGAGAATTAGTTGCACAGAGAAAGTCCTGATACGTGCGAATTATATCGAAAAAATTGTTTCATCGACGATCCGACTTGCGAAGGAATTTGTTTGCTTTGTTATTAGGTTGTTCGACGCGCCGGTGCTCTTTATAAAAAAGAAACCGCTTACGTTTCTACACGCGAAACGAGCCTAAGCGTATTTATAGGAGCGCAGCGATTGCTCTAACAACGGCAGCCGATCGAACAGCGGAATAATTCTGAATTTATTCGGTCCGGTTATCGTATTAATAGACTTGCAATAGGGAAACGCGTGCGTGTAATGGTGGAGAGCCGGGGCGAGCATTTATTTTGCAAAGGCAGCGTACGGAAAAAAAAGAGATGGCCGAGAGACAGTTCAAAATTTACCGCTGTCGGATAGAGGAGTGGTCCCATGGCGGACTGTCAGCTGTTTTTCGAACTCTGTCAATTCTTGTCAGTTGCACCGTCCAGTTTAGCATAAAAATGCTGTTACGGTAGATGGTCGGCTTTCGAAGGCTTTGGCCGACACGGTACAAACGTATCGTATATCAAAGCAGGCGGCCATGGCCACGGGAAAATAAGAAAGTTTTTGTTCTTTTTACGGAGCCACGGTCGCCGTGGGCGGTGTCTGATATACGATCGGAGTTCAGCATTTTGTTGACGAAAAAGCTACTACCTTGGCTCGGATTTTTCTACTTTGAATACGAAAAACATAAATATTACGTTATTTTGCAGAACCGGGCTGCGCGCCGTTTAGAATCCGCGGAACACGTGTAGACGTCACGTGTAGACCAACTTATTTAGCGATTCGAAGCGATGTACAGTAATGTCTCCCTAACCGACGCTCGGATTCTGCGCAAAAATGGACAATTTGGGAAGAGGAGACACGATTGTTCGAGCCTTGCGGCTCGTTTTTATAGTTATTGACACTCGGTAATTATAAAAATAGCCTTGCGGCTCGAATAATCGCGTTTCTTCTTCCCAAATTGTCTATTTTAGTGCACGATTTAGGCGACAATTAGGGAGAAATTATTGTATAAAGTTGCTGCGCAAGGGAAACCGTGTTTATAATTAGCATCGGTCGCCAAAGCCGCTTTTTGAAACGGAAATTGGTTAATAAAACGATCTAAACATCGTTTCGTTTAAATTGCAATTGTTCGGGATGGCGAAAGAAATTAAAAAATAGCATCTTTTCAACCCCGTTATCGTGCTGAAAAATATTGTTCCGTTTTAAAAGATCTTCGAATATTCTATTCTAATTCGTTCATTTCCTTTTACACATAATAAATAAATTTCGAGTCATTCGATGAAACGAGGAAGTTTAATAAAACTCGTATCGCTTTCCTTCTCTGTCCGTCGCATAAATTGCGATGTTGCAGAATTGTTGATACGCTATAAAATAGAATTCGCGCGTTTCTCTACTAACAAACGTACAATTAACAGTCCCAGTTTATCGAGGATGTGCGCAAATAGATTGCAAGCGTCGCGAAATGAGAAGAAACTCGTCAATTCTGCGGGCAATTTTGTATCGAGCGCGACATTTTTAAGTAAAAGTAAACGCGAGCTTCCCGTCGGCAGGCTACACGATTAAAGTAAATAAGAAAATTGATCGGACACGCGTTGCCCGGTAAAAGTACAATAAGGTTTAACGGGGGGTAGGAGGGGAACCGAAACGGGTAATGCCAGACTTCGCGATAATTATTTACCGTGGGACGACGAGGACGACGACGGAGCCTCTAAAACGCAGAAAATTCATTAAACCGTTCTGAAATCGATACCCTTACGCGTGTGTGCAGCCACATAGGACGAACGCAAATTCCTCGGTATACCAGTTTGGGCCTATTCCCGGGATGCCTATTTAACTACTGTAGTTAACGTAATATGACATCCGCCACGGCAAGCGATTACGGGGAACACGCGATGCAAATTTACGGTATTATCGTAATAAACAGGTTATAAAGGCTGATAGCTTCCTCGTGTATTGAAATTATACTGCAGCGGTACGGTTTCTGCACGTACATTGCCACTATGTAAACGTGTGTTTTATATCACCGCGTATGCGACGCGCTCGGCTCGCACACGCGTGCGTGTGTACGTGTTTGCGCGCGCGCGTATCCCTCCGCGTGCGATTTCTACATATGCGTGGCCCCGTGTAGACGCGGTGGCTGCGCGCGCGAGCGCACGCGCATATAGAGGAGTGCGTTATTAAGAATGTTAACGTATGTTCGTGACGGGTTGTCAGGAACCCCCTTATCCGGCTGAACTCGCCTCGGATGGTAGATATAAATATGCAATAGCGCTTGTCATGCGCAGCGCCTAATAATTGAATGTATAATAAAGAAGGCGTCGCTCGGTGTCATGCTGACAGACTACAGAAAGACTACGAGCGAGAGAGGATCGCGCGGCCAGACGTCAACTTTCAATTTTATTTGCTTCTTTCGCCGCGCTGTTCCTCGCTGCGCCATCCGCCTCGCCCGGCGGCTGCTCCGTTTTTCTGTCTTTTGTAATTTCGCTTGACAATGCCTGTTAAATATGCCATCGATATTATCGCGGAACTTCGGGCGTTACCGCTGTTTCACCGTGCCCCGTCGCGAGTCGCGCGTCGTGCCCACGTTTTCTTTATTCAGCCACGGCGCGTATATATTTCAAGAACGCGAAACTTAAACGCGACGCAACGGCCGCCGCGCATTGTGCTGCCAGGCAGCTCGCTTTCGACACAATAAACGTTCCTGACAATTGCGTCATAATTGGCACCTCGCGGATATTGTTATTGTGCGTGAAAGTTATTCCGCGAACCGACGATCGAACGAACCGCGCTATGCAACGTTTTCTACGAACGCGGTTGCGACGATTGTCGGGCGAAATTGTGCGGAGGAAAAGTTGCTAGATTCGAGCTAGATTATTGGATAATAATCTGTTCGTAACGACAGCTACAGGGAGTCCCGTAATTATGTTAACGCGCGCAAGGGGATGATTCCTGTGGTCAGTGAAACGTCTCCCTTGCTGACGCTCGGATCGTGGCTTGAGAAATGGACAATTTGGGAAGAGCAGACACGATTATTCGAGCCTCGCAGCTCTCGTTTTTATAATCGTTGACGACTCGTATCTATAAAGACAAACCGCGAAGCTCGAACAATCGCATCTCCTTTTCCCAAATTGTCCATTTTCGTGGACAATCCGAGCGTCGATTAGAGAGACATTACTGTAACTTTTTTATTAACGAAAATCGCTGGCCAATGAGAGGCGAGCTTTTTCTTCTGCACAACTAATTCTGCACAACTTTTCTCTTATTTTTAGCTTTCAAAATAAAGTCAAGCATATTCTTATTTACTGTGATTATTGCGAGTTCAATACAGTAATAAATATAGTACAAAATGATTCAAATTTAACAACGTTCTCGCAGTGTTTTGCAAATAAAGCTGTTCAGACAGATAGAACATTTTTGCAATTGGCGCAGAACATTTATTTGCACAAGAAACCACGATTGAAATGCAAGCTGACATCGGTCAGAATTTCTCACTGGCACAAATTTTAATTCATCTACGACGGAACATTTGTCAGAACATTCTGACAGAAATAATAATCGTTCTCGTCTCGCTCGGAAAGAAATATTACCAACGAGATGTTAATTTCTATCTCCCCTATACGCAGCGACCGTGGACTTTCTAATCGTGTTTATAAAGCTTAGGGCAATCTGTTTGTCTCTTTTCGGTTCCTGGCTGCACGGTATCACGAGCGGCGACGTTCCATTCATAAAAATATTACGGGAATGACAGTGGTGTGGACGATGGTGCCGCGTACAGGAAGAGGGCTGCAAACGGCCGATTCGATAACCATTCGAGACTGAGAGTGCCCTTCACCTCCCTGACAGCTACGTAAACACTGAACTGACGTTTAGAATAGCTCTTATTTATTCTAACCTGTTTATTTAGGCTGCCGGGATCGCATTACCTGAGAGCCTTCGAGTGGCAGGGAGAGAAGACTACCGTTGTCAGCGCTGAACTCACTGTCACGCGTCAGCCCATCAGGCTACAATATCAACACGCGGAGCCGCATATGAATGCCTGCCTACCGGCACTAACAAATGGAAATTCGAAGACAATCATTTTACAATTAGGCACTCAAACCCTATTGTATCTCCGTCGTTTTCTATTAACCTTTGCAGGAGTGGGTCTCGCGACTAGACACGTATCAGATATACACGTACACGTACGTATGAGCCGTTTATTTTGAAAGTGGCCTAAGCCATTTTTCAAAAACACCGAGCTAGCTGTTTTAATATTCACATTTCCGCGTTATACGTATAATTTCATGTCAGCGAAGCTGAAAGAACGCGGTGACCCTTAGGAACACAAAAACATTATACCACCATGTTATCAATTGGCAATATTTTTAAATTTATTAAAACGTAAAAACCTTGAATATCTGGATTTTGAAATAAATGGACTTAGGCCACTTTCAAAATAAACGGCTCATATGTATGATATACATATATCGCATTGAAAAATTTTGCGTTTAACCCTTCGAGTGCTGAAAATTAAAATTCAATGTTAAAATTGTGTACGCAAGAGTTAATAAGCTAAGCCATATTCGTTTGCGCCAATTTTCTAGACGCAAGGGCGGCAATCGATATTTTTTAACAAAATTCTAAATCACAGAAACGACATATTTAATATTTCCAATAATCTAATCTAAATCTAATAATTCTAATATTTTCTAGTCGAAGTCCTTTGCAAGCAATGCTTCATTTCACATAAAATTGTAAAACCGAATGCAGCGTTTATTAGACACGAGAATTCAATCGGAGAAAATTAAATGAAGAAACTTAAATAACATCGCTGACCGTTCAGAAAATGTTAACGATCTTCGCTATAATTACTGCTAAGTAGTTATTTGAATGACACGTGTAAGCGATGTAACAACGTATACACGCATAATACGTAACGACACGTATCGACGAACAATTGGTGGCAAAAGCATCGCGGAATTTAACAGATTTATGGGACGAAGCTTATCTCAGGTATTTTTTCCAGCTCATTAATAATCGCGCGGAGTTATTAATAAACCGTGATCGATCATATTTCTCAATCCGCGTGTTTCAGTTTCTTATCACCGGGATATCAGTTTTAACCGAACCGCGTTTAATCGCGTGTTGCGTCAAATCGGCATTTTATTTCGGCGAGTTTTCTCTCAATCATTCGACAAGAATATCGCATGCGCCGCACGATATTGTAACCTGAAAATCTACTTCTTTACAATGCTACGATAAGAATTTTAAAATTGATATAAACGACCCGACCCTATCGTGTATCCGAACGTTCGCGTTGCACAGAGCCTATACACTGTCAACGTGTATTACGAATGCTAATGTCACGTTACGATTCCATGCCTGCACGGCAGGCATTAGGTTAGCATAGTAATCGCGCATGCACGAATACCTTTTATCTAATAACGGCACCGATAATTGGTCCGGCCGAATTTTTTCGAACGATCGAAACGTTTCGATATCGCTGTTCCCCCCCTTTGGTCTTCCTTTCCGTCGGCTAAATTCAAATTTTCGTTTATAATCGGTGTTTATAAAATGCGCCGCGGAGGCGATCGAAAATATCACGGGCAGCGAGGCGCGAGGATTTTCACCGCGAAGAACACGTTCCCGCAGTTTCCCGTAATTACAGCGATTTTCCGTTATTAAATGTTGACCGAGCAAAAACTTTCGCGACGCCTACGAGTAAATGATTTTAGAACACCCGGTGTACGGACTGGAAGCGTAATGTATTATACCAGCTAGGCAGGTATATTACAGAGAACCGCAGTTATGTGCGACGGGCTATGATTGATGACAAGTCGTTGCCTGTTATGAATATAATATCGATCAATCACGCTATTTACCGGACGAATGCATAGGCCCATTCTATCATCCTCCTGTGTGCTCGCTTGCTTACCAACCTATCTATATCTATTTCGACTTGACCCGCTTCCATCGAGACTGAAACTCGTTTCTTTTTTATTGCACGCTACTCGGAATTATGCGCGACGCCCGATTCCGAGAGAGATTGCCCGCCCCTTATCGCGACGATAAGTGAATCAACCCTTTCGTGACCGCGATACTTTCTTTTTTTTTATGCGAAATTTTTTACTCATCCATCGACGTTTCCCGACGCCGATTTTTATCGGCTGTAACGGACGCCGAATCAAGATCGATTTTCGCGAGTCGCTTAATTATGTTTCGCTGTGATTTGACGAAATCACGGCGAATTCTTCCTAATCGACGCTCGGCTTGGGAAGAAAACCGAAGAGGGAGGTTCCTCGAGGAATTATATAATAATTTATTATTATTATTTTTATATTATTATATTTATATTATTATTATTATTATATTTATTATTATACAATTATATAATAATAATTATATGCACGAGTGTCCAGTAGCTGGGTAAATGACGTCAGGAATTCAAATCGACGTACATAACTTTGTTATTATGATTTTTCAGCTATTCGGGTTATCTTCGCGTAGACGCGAGTGGAATGATCGAAGAGGAAGCGATAAACATCGACAAAGTTCAACTTGGATGGATTAAATTTAAAAGTTCAATCACTTTTTTCCGTTAGTTGATCCACGCAATTGTCGGCTAACGCGCGTTTGTTTGTTTGAGCATTCTTTCGGGCGAATGAATTAACGATTGTAAGCGACGCTTTAAATGTTCTTAATAAAAAAGATATACACACCATCTAACAACGTTAACATGTTATTAAATCTGGCGGGATAGCTGCTGCCACATAAAATACACATTTATGATATTGGGTTGTCCGGAAAGTTCGTGCCGATTTTTTAGGAAAATTAAAACGCAGCTCATTTAAATATTGGAGCCAAGCTTCACAGTATGATCGTGGATGGTTGATTTTGATTTATTTAGCATTCCTGCTAATCGACGTAATGTTGAGCGTGGGTTATTCTCGATTTCTGTTCTAATCGTATCTTCGTCTGTGGTGGACGGCCTACCTGGGCGTTCTTGATCTTCAAGGT